GCGGGGCCTCGGGCTGGATGAAGGCCAATAGGAACCCTGCTTCTGCTTATGAAACAATAGACTTTACTGAAAGGGAAAGAAGCTCATTACTTCCCATGGGACATCTCCACGGAATCCCGAGGACCCGTGAGGACACTAAGATGCCTGTTTCCCTGACTAGCACACTTGCGTGGCACTTGGGAAGAGTGTTCCGCAGCGCGCTCTCCAACACACGTAAAGCCTGGCTCGCACTCAGCACACTGCTTGCTCTATGACATCACAGACTCTGCATGCTGCTCAATACATGACATCAGCAATTCTAGCCTTCTGCGTAAGAAGAAAATTTCCCCAGCAGTTCACTTCAATCAATGCTCTAAAACTGATCCACAAATTCATGGTCTTATTTCTAACTCAAATCCAAAATTCATGCATCTTATACATCTTAATGTATATAAGACTATTTAATCTGTATATGCATCTTAATGTGTATAAGACTATTTAATCTGTATTTTAATTTTGCCTCATATAAGTTTGATCCATCAGCTTTCAGAGTTATTTATGATCCTCACAATTAAGAAGCATTCGAAAATGTGCACTGTTAATAATAGGGACATTACACGCATGTAATGTCAACCTGGACAGTATAATTTCTTATTTCAACAATTTTGTTTATAAATATTAATCACACGTTATAGTTGTTTTATTTTCTATAATTTGCATATCATACTCAAGGTTCATATATTAATTTATATTACCGCTTTATATTAATTTTCTTTTACATTTTGGTTTCTTGAACCCATTACATAGTGAAGGAAAAGCAACACTTAAGGGTATCTGTCCTACAGCAGGTCCTTTCATTAGCTCAGTTATTTCTGAAATTTTATTTGGATCCACCATTTCTTTTGCATTGTCTATGACTATGCTTGATTATGTCACTATTAACAGAAAACTAATATCATCCGTGTTGTTCCCAAGCACTCACTAAGTGCAAGACCATATCTTTTCACACAGCTATCCTCACACTGCCCTAGGAAGTTTCTAGCACCATTGATAAAGAAACTGAGGATAAAGGACCAAGGCCACCAAACCACCCAAGAGGAGTCTGCTTGGCTCCATGCTGCACTTCAGAATTGCTGCCACAGTGGAATGATGTCTGTGCTTCCAAGAATTTCTGCACAAACATTTAAACACCCATGTGGTCACCCACAGGCTTCAACTGATGTCCTCTCTCTGATGTCCCCATTGCCTGTGCTCTGAAAAGTCAATATAAAGGCTAGCACTGAATCTGCTTTCTCTGTTGAGAAAATAATTAGCTGTGATAAAACAATTTAATTAATTGTGACAATGTTGAAAATTCTCTAAAATGTTTTATATTGCCTATGGCCCCATTAGTTTTAGTTTTACCTGTACTTAAAATGAAATATGTCCCTGTACTGGTATTCATATTTCATGTCAATGGCTTTTACTGGAATGTGTTACTCGTGCTTGTGAGATGTGTGTGCGAGTGTCCAATGCAGAAACTTAAGGAAAAGAGTGACAAGATATCTGTAAGCTACCTGACGTAGGGCATATGCAATGAACGCAGGAAGAAACCCTTTCCTGTCTTCACAGCATCGCTTCTGCTCGCAGAAAACCAGTTCAGTGAGTTCAATCAACAGAATAGCCTTTCACACTGTAAGTTAAATGAATTGTAGGGTTTTGGTCTATATTTGAAAATAGCACAACAGTTTATGAGCTATATTGCTTTTTAATTGTGTGGATTCAAATCAGAAAATTATAGTGTAGGTGCTATAATAGACTATAACATCATGATGATTTTGGAGAAATTTTTCCATAAAATGTCCTTTAAAGAAGAACATTACAAAAGAAACGAGGCTCTTTACATACTCTGTGCTAACGAATTGTATGCTATTATTTGTAAAATCATAAAAGTATTTTTATCAAATTGTTTTGAAAATGACCCAAGATGCCAAATATAGATAATTCAAAAATAAATATTATATGTTTAAATATTATATAGTTCATTGTAGTATTTGATATTTAATTATGAATGATTATGTTAATCATTATGTAACTCACAGGCCAACTTATCATTTGTGCTGCTAAGTTTCATAGACAAATTACAAGTCTCTGAGCCAATGAAGAGAAGATTGATTTTGAAGAAGAAAAGTCAGTTAACCAATAGATCACTGTCAAGAAAGGAAGAGATGAATCACATTTAAGATGGAGGAACTTCAAAGTGTGAAAAATCGATTGGGTGCCTTGTCATATTCCTCTTTGGGGAAAACTTTGAGAAGACCTCCGATTAACTAGAAATCACATGTACACATTCCCTTACAGTCTTATTAAAAATACCCCAGCTTCCAGTTTCTGAGGATATGCAAAATGTTTCTGGAAAGCCTGTTGCTTAGCAAGATGCTTCTAAAGGGAGTCACTGAGGAGGGCTTGTTAGTATTGTGAGTGTATTTAGAGTCATTTAGAATTATCCACACAGCAGACTTGAGAACCCCTGAGAGGACCAACAAAGGAGGCTCACGAGATTTTAAACACTAGTCTAATATTGAATACGACACAGATCTTCATAACACCATCACTGACACTCCAGGATTATAGCTGAAAGTGTAGCATTACTTTACATGCCTAAAGCTTTGGGTTTCACGTCAGTTATCTCAAACCTGAAAACCTGGGTTAGCTCTACGTCATTTTCCATGACTGGCTTGATGACATGCACTCCTGTGCCTAACCTCCCTACACTGTCTAATGTAGCTCACCTAACCTTGCTGTGCCATACCAGTGCATAACCCAATTTTGATTTTATAAGTTATTTCCTCATCTTTTTATATTTCATAATAGTAGATAACCTATTTTTATATTTTAGAACAGTAAATTATTTAACCTTTCTTTATTTCTAGCAGCAGATATCCCCGCTTTCTATATTTTGCAACATGCTACCAAAGTTTCTATTAGTTTATAACAGTCAAAAATCTAACTTTATATATTTTATAACAATTGATTACTAACTTTCAATAATTTATAGTAGTTCCTTTATTAGATTAGTTTTTTGGGGGAAACTGGACATACCATATTAAAATACATAATTCAATAGTAGTATTTTTAATGGCACTTAAAGAAACTCAAAATAGGGAAATGAAGATTCGAGGTGTGTCTATTGGTAAAAAGAAGACATGATTCTTAAAATTTTGAACTAAGAAGCTATTATTATGGAAACTAAAAAGAACTTAATCTTGACTGAAAAAAAGTACTCCAAAATTTTTCTTTGACCTTTAAGAGAGAAAGGTTAACCTAGAGATGACTGGGGGGCAGGGCACCAAGGTTACCCGGGAGATAGATGACGGGGTGGGGGGGCACCAAGGTTACCCAGGAGATAGATGACGGGGTGGGGGGCACCAATTTTCCCCAGGAGATAGATGACGGGGTGGGGGGGCAGGGTACCAGGGCACCAAGCAAGGACAGCTGCACATTAGAATACAAGTGTACTTGTACCTTAGTCACTGGATTATAGTTTGGAGTGAGTTGAGCACAAAGTCCTAGCAGCAGGAAAAGGAATGGGGTGATTTTTGTTTTACACTGGTAGATTAGCCAACTCCATACGAGGTCTTACAGAAGGTAAGACAATTCACCCTCAGAATGGAGAATCCAGATTTTCATCCTACTCACCTCTGGCTTCTAGCCAACTACTTCTACTACAAAGACTAAATTTCAGAATCACTTCCCATTGGAGCAACAGTGTCAAAGTTTATAAAAATGTGGGGCTTTAAACATTCATTTACAAAGAGTGGTAAGGACTTCAAATTATTGTTCTGGGAAGTAAAAATTCTTAGCCATACCTATAGTAAGCATCTTTTTGCTCCAAGACCCTGAAATACACTTATCAGGAATTTCAAATACGACCCATTGTTACTGTTTCTAGAGGACTTATTTATTTACTTACTTACTGTTTATGGCTTTGAAACAAGGTTTCACTGTGTAGCCTTGGGGGACCTGGATGTCACTTTCTATAAAGGCTGGCCATGAACTCACACAGACCCGCCTGTCTCTGCCTCCCCAGTGCAGGGATTAGGAATTATTTTTTATTATTTGCACCTCATCCAACCAACCAGGCTTCTGCCTTTTGTTTTTGTTTTTGTTTTTGTTTTTTTTTTTTGCCTTTGCTTGCTTCCTTGATTTATTTGTTTGGTTGTTTATAAATGGTGCTAATGATTGTGTCCAGGGTAAACTACATTCTAGGCAAGTGTTTTACCAGTCAAGTAAGCCCGCATCCTACACTTGTGCATGTCAGGATGTCACGCTGCATGTGTTGCTCATTAACTAGCAACATTTCCCTTTGTCCCAGCTTTTGTTTTTCATGACACTCTTTTCTAAAATGATATTATTGAGAATATAATGTGTAATAATTATAGTAGATAGGATACTCATTTTATACAATAATAGGATCCTAAAGTGCCTTTAAAAACATAAAGGTTATGAAGAGAAAGGAATTTTCTTCCTGACTTATCTCAACTTATACCCAGAAGACAACTTAAAAATATACTTGCTAAAATACCGTTTGAACCGCCTAAGCATATGTTTTCCCCAATAACTCAGTAGTAAAGCAGAAATAATTGAAATACCAAAATAGTAAGACATAAAATAGAAAAAGGTGTAATAAAAAACACACACACACAGGATGATAATGGAAGATTTCCCTACACATTTTTAAAGGGATACACATTTTATGAAATAAAAAAAAATCTGAAAGCTTTGGTCCTTAGATCCTTAGCCTTATAAGTTACATAACTCCGTGATCTTTAACTTGCATTGTATAACACTGTGTTTCTAGTAAGGAGAAGCATAATCCTAAGAGCTGGCACACAAACACATTACACATCTTAGCATTCACTATCACTGGGCCATTACATCTTATGTTTGGGTCTGATCCATCTATACCCACTTGTTTAAAAGAATCTAGCAGCTTCATATGATTGACTGTTTTACAACTTTTAAAAAGAAAATTGTCTTGCCTTCGAATGGTAATCTTGCTCCAGTCTGGGATCTGATCCGGCTACCTGTTTGTATTTGTTAATTTTCATTTGGCGGTTTCTCTCCTCTACATCCATAGCACCTATCAAGTAGAAAGAAACCCATGAAATTAATGTTCGGTTCTTACTTCTGAATCCTAATTAGGATGTACAAAAGAAGAAATGTGAGGCTGATATGCTATTTTCACTCCAAGTAGTAGATAGAAATTAAATGTATTGTCTTTATTTTAAGTTAAACTATGCATTTTGGTAAACAAAAGCAAGATTATTAAACATAACAACTTCAATCTGAATAAAATATACTTGCATTAAAAGAGAAGACAACTGGATTAAAAACCCACCTACACATCTGTGTCCGGAAGAATATATTTGGTAGTACACAAGTTTGGCACAAGAACTTTGGCTCTTAATTCATCGCATACACTTAACTGGTTTGTAACTGGCTTCTAACAGTTTTCAAAATGCAATCTAAAACTGCACTTTTAAACTAGTGTCATAAAATTAGGCTTTGTGTTAAAGCAAGTTCTCCTAGAATACATTATAAATCTAGTTATTAGGAACTTTTGAATTTGAAATTTCTATAACTAAAATTAAGAAATAAGTTTACGAAATACATTTTTGATAACACCATGCTGGCAAATATATAAAACACTACTGAGATTAACTAAAACTAGAATATTAAAAATGAGAAAATGAATGCTGAGTCTATTATGAGAGGAGATCGGTGTTCTCAGTAACTGTTACTAACTCAAAATAAATCAATTTTAGATAGGTTTTTAAACTCTGATTAGAATTAAAACTTAAATTCATTTACCCAGCCCTAATGAATATGAAAGAAACATACAAAAAAGCATATGATTCCCATAAAGAGAATTTATAGGAAGATCATTTTAAAATAAATATATACATTGGAAAACACAAAGGAAGAAAATGAATTTGATGGGCTCAACTGGTGGCTATAGAAGCACACTGTCATGTAAACTTGTAAGTGCTATGCATGTAGACAGGAATGCAAACACACAAATACATACATACCCTTTGCTCAAGACCATCACTTTAAAGCTGAAGTAAAGATAGCCAGACAAAAGTGGACCCATCAAAACAAGCATCTAATACTTACCTGATCTAAAATATAGTAATATATATGGAATTGAAAACGCAGCAACATTAGCAGTTACAGAGCCCTCTCCTCAGGTACAGTTTTAAGTCATTGTAAAATACTACTTCTGCTCTGCAAAAATTTTGTTATATAACAGGTAAGTCTTGCTAACAACAAATTTTAAGTGGAGACTGACTGAGTAGGATAAAAGGGAACACAATTTTCCAGAAAGATTAACAAAGTTTTGGGTAAAAGTTTACATAAAGAATTAAATTATGTGACCCCCAACTATGTCATCAAATTACTGTTGCATTATGAGATAGGTTTGGGTTCACCTTAAATTTCTGTCTCAGACTCCCAAGTGATGGGATTACTTCTGTTTTTATGCCATCAAGTTGAAATCAATTATTCAGTAAGGAGCCAATAAACTACTAAGATAGGCATATTATAATAACAATATAGCTGACTCCATATTAAATTCAAGATTGCAGAATAAACTGAATGATATATGAAAGCATATGAATTCCTGTGGCACGAACTATAGCCAAGTATTACACCTGTTAGTCCATCAAACTACACCTGGAAAATTGTTCGTAGCTCAAGAAGTGCTCTGATATAAGACAAATAAAAATTAGTCCTGGATGAAAAACAATTATGTGCAGTGAAAAGAAGTTACTTGTTAAATACTGTTGGGGAGGATTCTTTAAGAAAGTTTCATGTTGCCCACCACAATAGAAGAACAGGATGTTAAATAATGCTAACTGACAAGGAAACTTAAGCACACAGAAACATAGGTATAAAACATACACACATAAACATAAGCGTTCTCTAATACTTAGTTTTTGGTATGGGAAACTTCTCTGACAGCAACATTTAGTTCCTTTGAATACTAGGAAGTAATACGACAACCAGGAAGAAAGGCAAACTTTTCATTTAAAAACCCAGAATGACATACACCGTAGGTGTGTGTGTGTGTGTGTGTGTGTGTGTGTGTGTGCCTGCCCATGTGTGCACACTTGGTCCTGTAGTGGGGTGCTCATGTCATGAATGTGTGTGCATGATCACAGGAGCAGCTCTGCAGACACTGCACACCCGGAACTTTTGAGACAGGGTCTCTCGTTGGCTGGCAGGCCAGTCAGCTGCGGGGATCTGCCAGTCTCTGACCAGTCAGTGACAGGGATAAGGGCACAGCGCACCATTCCTGGCTTTTGTTCTTTTAACCTGAGTGACAGGTTAAAACTCAGACTTCATGCCCTCAGAGCAAGTGGTTTACTGAATGGGTTACTGCCTCAGTCCTACATGGCAGTCTTTCGATTGTGCGCAAACTTGAACTTGGCTGCAAATCTGCCACAGCCAGATGAAAGCAGCCATTCGCAGTTTTTACACAAATGTCCGTGGCTGTGTTCTTGTAACAAACGCACAGTGAACAACGTATTAAATTTGGGGGAAATGGAAGCATTTCCTCTAAAATCAAGAAAGAGGAAAACAATGCCCATTCTCATTCTCAAATAAGCATCAATGAAACTTTACCCAGAACAATTAGGCAAGAAAAATAAAAACAGAATTCGGTTGTCAGTGAGGAGGCCTCGGCAATCTATGGGACCTTGGGGAGTAGATCAGTATTTATGCCTGGCATAAAAATGGACTTTGGGAGCCCATCCACAATGAGGAATGCTCTCTCAGTCTGGACTCTTGGGGAAGGGCCTAGACCCTGCCCTGGATAAAATGACAGACTCTGGAGGTCCCCCATGGAGGGCCTCACCCTCCCTGGTGAGCAGTGTGGGGGTTGAGTGGGGGGTTGGGGGACATTGGTGGGAGGAAGAGTAGGAGGGGAGGGGGAGGGAGCTGGGATTGACATGTGAAGCAAGCTTGTTTCTAATTTAATTAAAAAAAAAGAAAAGAGGAGGCCGAGCCATCCCTGTTTTCAGATGCTGTGACACCATCTGTGAAAAGACCTCAGGACCCCACGAGGACTCTCACAACTGGAAAACCAACCCAGCAAAGTGACAAGAAACAAAATCAACAAAAAAATTAGTAGGTTTTCTATATAACAAGTACATTTGTACTAGCATCAAGAGATGAAAATATCAAGGAAATGAAAGGTTGCTACAATGCAGAATACAGAAAAACTGTCCATGTTATGTTGGGAGAATTAGTACTATTAAAATGGACATAGAACCAAAAAAAACTCTGCAAATTCAGTGCAATCCCCAATAAAATGCCAATAGGATCCGTCACAGAACCAGAAAGCAAGCAAGCAAACTAACAAAAAACCCAAATTCAACTATAAGCACAGGAAACCTCAAAATCCACCAAAGCGATCACGAGGGTGAATGCATTGATGATAACTGATCTCAAAATTCACTCATAGGTACAGAGACAGCACAGCTCCCTGAGAAAGGCAGACACGGAAGGCCCATGGAATACACAACTCAGAACTAAACCAATGCGGTAGCAGCTGATTCTTGACAAGATCCCCAGAGAGCACAGCAGACAGACAAACAGTGCTGAGCAAACTGCACATTCACATGGAGATTAGAACTGTACCCATACCTCACATCTTACAAATACCCGCTGAAAACGCGTCTCATGGACCTTTATGAGAGACTTGAAACTAAGAGTTGAAAAGAAACAAGAAGGCTCGTCAAGATTATAGCAAGGATTTCCTGAATAGGACTCCAACATCCTAGGGAACAAAAGCAAGAATTTAAAAATTGGATTATATAAGCAATCGACAGAATGAATGGACAACTTGAAGAATGGGAGAAACACCTATGCCAGATACTTATCTAACAGCATTAACATACGGAATACAGGAGGAGATCAATAAATAAACTTCTTTAAAGGCTTATTCCTAATCACGTGCACATCTTTTCCAATGTGTGTGTGTGGGTGTGCAAGTGCCCCGGGAAGCCAGAAGTGCTCATCAGACCCCCTGGGGCTGGAGTTACAAATGGTTGTTGGTTTTAAAAGTGGATCCTGGTTAACTGCTGGGACATGTCTCAAGCTCTCTGATACACTTTTCACTTCAAAGAAGAGTAATCAAACAAATATGGGAAAATGATCTGAACAAACTTTTTTTTTAAAAAGGACAAATCAAAGATCAAAAATAAAAATATAAGTGGCTAGGAGGGGGGCCTAGGCCCTGCCTCAAATGATGTGACAGACTTTGATGATCCCCCATGGAAGGCCTCACCCTCCCTGGGGAGTGGATGGGGGATGGGATGGGAGGTGTTGGTGGGGGACAAGGGAGGATGGGAGGGAGATAGAACTGGGATTGATATGTAAAATAAGATTGTTTCTAATTTAAATAAATACATTTCAAAAATATAAGTGTTAATAAATGAATGAACATGTTTACACTTTAGCGGACAGAGAGGTGTAAAACCTAACTATGTTGAAATTCTTTTTCAGAACAGTGAGGATGGCTGTTACTTTGTTTTTTTAAGAAATGCTGGGGAAGACACAGGGAGAAAGGAATCCTAATACCTTACTGGTGGGAAAGTAAGGCAACACCACCACCACTGTGGAGGACAGTTTAACAAACAAGACAACAAATGCCTCAAGAGAACAAGAAAGGATTCAGTTACACCACATATTCAGTTGAAGGAACTGAAGTTCATGCATTAAGTTCACTGTGTCCCATTAGTCAAGTTGTGGAATTAAGCTGGGCGCCTTGTCAACAAATGAATAACAAAAAAAATAACAAAAAACACATGGCACATATACACAATAGCATATATTCAGCTGAAGAAAAATGAAATCATGTCGTTTGTAGACACATGATTGCTTTCCTAAGTGAAGCTTAAAGAAAAAAATTATATATATATATATATATATATATATGTATATATATGGGTGATCCAAAAGGAGAGGGTCCTATAGTGGAAGGAGAACGTAATTAGAGGGAGTGGGAAGAGAAAGGATTGGAAAAGGGGGCAGAAGGGAGTGAAGACATGATCAAAACCCAACATTCAATGTATG